AGGTGGAGTTCCAATGCAAATCGGCTTAAGTCCAGTCAGGGTCTGGACATGTTGCCATGACTGGTACCCGCCTTAAGAGACACTATTTCGGGGTAAAATGTATCCATGTTGACCCCTGGTTCTTGTTCCTTGTACACTGGATGCATGTAGTATGGCCCTGGAAGAATGCAAGGTGTAGTTCCAATGCAAATTGGCTTAAGTCCAGTCAGGGTCTGGACATGTTGCCATGACTGTTACCCTGCTAAGAGACACTATTTCGGGGTAAAATGTATCCATGTTGACCCCTGGTTCTTGTTCCTTGTACACTGGATGCATGTAGATGGGCCTGGAAGAATGCAAGGTGTAGTTCCAATGCAAATTGGCTTAAGTCCAGTCAGGGTCTGGACATGTTGCCATGACTGTTACCCTGCTAAAGAGACACTATTTCGGGGTAAAATGTATCCATGTTGACCCCTGGTTCTTGTTCCTTGTACACTGGATGCATGTAGATGGGCCCTGGAAGAATGCAAGGTGTAGTTCCAATGCAAATTGGCTTAAGTCCAGTCAGGGTCTGGACATGTTGCCATGACTGTTACCCTGCTAAAGAGACACTATTTCGGGGTAAAATGTATCCATGTTGACCCCTGGTTCTTCATCCTTGTACACTGGATGCATGTAGATGGGCCTGGAAGAATGCAAGGTGTAGTTCCAATGCAAATTGGCTTAAGTCCAGTCAGGGTCTGGACATGTTGCCATGACTGTTACCCTGCTAAAGAGACACTATTTCGGGGTAAAATGTATCCATGTTGACCCCTGGTTCTTGTTCCTTGTACACTGGATGCATGTAGATGGGCCCTGGAAGAATGCAAGGTGTAGTTCCAATGCAAATTGGCTTAAGTCCAGTCAGGGTCTGGACATGTTGCCATGACTGTTACCCTGCTAAAGAGACACTATTTCGGGGTAAAATGTATCCATGTTGACCCCTGGTTCTTCATCCTTGTACACTGGATGCATGTAGATGGGCCTGGAAGAATGCAAGGTGTAGTTCCAATGCAAATTGGCTTAAGTCCAGTCAGGGTCTGGACATGTTGCCATGACTGTTACCCTGCTAAAGAGACACTATTTCGGGGTAAAATGTATCCATGTTGACCCCTGGTTCTTCATCCTTGTACACTGGATGCATGTGATGGTCCCTGGAAGAATGCAAGGTGGAGTTCCAATGCAAATCGGCTTAAGTCCAGTCAGGGTCTGGACATGTTGCCATGACTGTTACCCTGCCTAAAGAGACACTATTTCGGGGTAAAATGTATCCATGTTGACCCCTGGTTCTTCATCCTTGTACACTGGATGCATGTAGGTGTCCCTGGAAGAATGCAAGGTGTAGTTCCAATGCAAATTCGGCTTAAGTCCAGTCAGGGTCTGGACATGTTGCCATGACTGTTACCCTGCTAAAGAGACACTATTTCGGGGTAAAATGTATCCATGTTGACCCCTGGTTCTTGTTCCTTGTACACTGGATGCATGTGGTGTGCCTGGAAGAATGCAAGGTGGAGTTCCAATGCAAATCGGCTTAAGTCCAGTCAGGGTCTGGACATGTTGCCATGACTGTTACCCTGCCTTAAAGAGACACTATTTCGGGGTAAAATGTATCCATGTTGACCCCTGGTTCTTGTTCCTTGTACACTGGATGCATGTAGATGGGCCCTGGAAGAATGCAAGGTGTAGTTCCAATGCAAATTGGCTTAAGTCCAGTCAGGGTCTGGACATGTTGCCATGACTGTTACCCTGCTAAAGAGACACTATTTCGGGGTAAAATGTATCCATGTTGACCCCTGGTTCTTCATCCTTGTACACTGGATGCATGTAGATGGGCCTGGAAGAATGCAAGGTGTAGTTCCAATGCAAATTGGCTTAAGTCCAGTCAGGGTCTGGACATGTTGCCATGACTGTTACCCTGCTAAAGAGACACTATTTCGGGGTAAAATGTATCCATGTTGACCCCTGGTTCTTCATCCTTGTACACTGGATGCATGTAGATGGGCCTGGAAGAATGCAAGGTGTAGTTCCAATGCAAATTGGCTTAAGTCCAGTCAGGGTCTGGACATGTTGCCATGACTGTTACCCTGCTAAAGAGACACTATTTCGGGGTAAAATGTATCCATGTTGACCCCTGGTTCTTGTTCCTTGTACACTGGATGCATGTAGATGGGTCCCTGGAAGAATGCAAGGTGTAGTTCCAATGCAAATTGGCTTAAGTCCAGTCAGGGTCTGGACATGTTGCCATGACTGTTACCCTGCTAAAGAGACACTATTTCGGGGTAAAATGTATCCATGTTGACCCCTGGTTCTTCTTCCTTGTACACTGGATGCATGTAGATGGGCCTGGAAGAATGCAAGGTGTAGTTCCAATGCAAATTGGCTTAAGTCCAGTCAGGGTCTGGACATGTTGCCATGACTGTTACCCTGCTAAAGAGACACTATTTCGGGGTAAAATGTATCCATGTTGACCCCTGGTTCTTCATCCTTGTACACTGGATGCATGTAGATGGGCCTGGAAGAATGCAAGGTGTAGTTCCAATGCAAATTGGCTTAAGTCCAGTCAGGGTCTGGACATGTTGCCATGACTGTTACCCTGCTAAAGAGACACTATTTCGGGGTAAAATGTATCCATGTTGACCCCTGGTTCTTATCCTTGTACACTGGATGCATGTAGATGGCCTGGAAGAATGCAAGGTGTAGTTCCAATGCAAATTGGCTTAAGTCCAGTCAGGGTCTGGACATGTTGCCATGACTGTTACCCTGCTAAAGAGACACTATTTCGGGGTAAAATGTATCCATGTTGACCCCTGGTTCTTGTTCCTTGTACACTGGATGCATGTAGATGGGCCTGGAAGAATGCAAGGTGTAGTTCCAATGCAAATTGGCTTAAGTCCAGTCAGGGTCTGGACATGTTGCCATGACTGTTACCCTGCTAAAGAGACACTATTTCGGGGTAAAATGTATCCATGTTGACCCCTGGTTCTTGTTCCTTGTACACTGGATGCATGTAGATGGGCCTGGAAGAATGCAAGGTGTAGTTCCAATGCAAATTGGCTTAAGTCCAGTCAGGGTCTGGACATGTTGCCATGACTGGTACCCGCCTTAAGAGACACTATTTCGGGGTAAAATGTATCCATGTTGACCCCTGGTTCTTCTCTCCTGGTGTCCATTTCATGTACATTTCCTCGTGTCCATTTCATGTACATTTCCTAGTGTCCATTTCATGTACATTTCCTCGTGTCCATTTCATGATGGGGGAGTCACATGTGGATGAAATTGACCCAATTCCCGGAGGTTCCGGGCCGAATTTGGGAGCTCATATGCGGCCTGCCGTGCACCCCCAGCCGTGGAAAGCAAAAAAAAGTAAATAAAACGGTCAATTACATGTTAAAATAATCAACAATGAAGTTCCTGTCCATTTCATGTACATTTTCTCGTGTCCATTCATGTACATTTCCTCGTGTCCATTTCATGTACATTTCCTCGTGTCCATTTCATGTACATTTCCTCGTGTCCATTTCATGTACATTTCCTCGTGTCCATTTCATGTACATTTGATGGGGGAGTCACATGTGGATTAAATTGACCCAATTCCCGGAGGTTCCGGGCCGAATTTGGGAGCTCATATGCGGCCTGCCGTGCACCCCCACCCGTGGAAAGCAAAACAAAGTAAATAAAACGGTCAATTATATCTTAAATTCATCAAAAACTACGTTTTTAAAAATTCAACGGGTGCCAACGGGTGAGGGGACCAACCCTTCGGCGCTTCGGGCGGAAGCCCCGGAGACATTTCCACTGACCCGTTGCACTTTTCAACGTAGAGGGGAATTGAAGATCTTCCCCTCCTCCGTTA